GAGAGAGAGAAAGAGAGAGAGAGAGAGAGAGAGAGAAAGACTCTGATTTGTGTGAAAAATCATTTTCTCCCAGATTAATGGCCATTATGCTTGACTCTGATTTATCACAGTGTCATTGGCTAGAATCTTTTCTGGAGTGAGGAAATAATAGAAACCACTTTCCCTGGCTGCCTCTTGCAGACTATTCATGCCACATGTCATATGTCATACTGCTTCACTGAAACTACCACAAGTCTGCTTTAAAATACAGGACATCTTAATCGGGTTTTTTTTGCTACAACCGCATCCCCTTATGCATCTTTTCAAATCTGTCTGTAGTCTCAAGATATCATTATACTAAGATGGTGAGTCTCAGTGCCCAGTCAGGCAGACATTTGTTGCATTGTTTGGTCCACTTTGGGAACAGTTTGATTCACTCTTTTTTTCTGCTGATCACATGATGTATTCAGTGACATGAACCAAACTGTCCCCAAAGAAGTCCTGCCCGTGTCTTTTTGAGTCACACAGATTTAGCTGTGAGCAGTTTCTCAGCTGACTCTTTAGACAAACCAAAGAAAATATTTTTCTTTCCTTTTTTAAAAGCAATGCAGTGCCTCAGTGATTGTCTACCAGAATCTTAAAGCAAAATTCACTTCCTCTGCCCCTCTGCTGAGGACCAGAGGAAGTGCTCAGTTTGCTGATATCCTGAGGTGGCTTGCTTATTAAGTCTCTTCATAATATAAGAAGAGCTGGACCAAATAGGGTTGCTTGAGCTCTGATATGCCATTTGGATGTGAGGATTGCACTAAATGGCATATTATACCTCTACCTGACCCCAAGCCACCCTATTTAGCTAATACCAGCTCACTCCAAAAGAGCCAGGGTAGACAAGCCCTCAGGCAATCAGTTAGGTCAGACTTCAGCCATCCAACACTCTGTGGATATATTTGATTACATCATTTATCATCCTCGGCGCAACATGATCATGCTGGCTAGTGATAGTGGGTGTCCAACACCTCTTGATGGTGCCAAGTTGTAGAAGGCTGATTTACATGGAGGGAATTCTGTTGAAGGAAGGGAAGTTTGATTTCTAAAATAATGTACACTTCTGTTGACATAGTGGCCTTTGCCTAACAATAAGACAGAGGTTTGCCTCCAGTGATGCTAGTCAATGTGCATTTTCAGGGTTAACATAGAGTGGTATCTATGCAAGTGGCTGAGTGAGCAGTTGCACAAGAGATTGCACAAGAGATTTAACACAGTGCAAAAGGAGTAGTAAGATAAGATTGCACAACTGATCACATGATCCTTTAACACAGTGCAAAAGGAGTAGTAAGATCTTCACTTTGTCATTGTCATCCTACACCATTTGTTTGGTAGATTTAAAGTGGAATATTTAGTCACTGGGTGGCTTCTAAATAGGACTAGTATTCCTTTTGATCAGGAAAAGGGAAGGAGGGTTATTAATAAAGAAGGTTATTTGAAAGAATCTGCATGAGTCTCCTATACCTTTCTGGGCACAAGACACTGACCTTGATCAGCAAATATTTTGTGGCTTTAGGTTTTCTTCACCAAGACAGCAATTCCCCTGTTACAACCCATCTTAATCTGTAATTCTGAAAGTGCATCTGCCTGCCATTTGTTTTCCAGACCTTTGGCAAGGGATAGAACTGTGACTGATCTTAAACTCTGCTCCAGTGTTACATAGAAGCAGGCAAAGCTAATATGCAATTTGGATCATGCGTTCTACTCCCCTTGCTTGCTGCAATGTGGGGGAATAATGGATCTCACCCAATGTGAATCATTTAGACAGGGGGAGGCATACAGATCTCATGATGGGTGAGAGAGCCATTAGCCCCCACTTTGCTGGTTATGCAGAAATAAGAGAAACAAGCATGTGAGGTATTGTTTTTCCCCACTCTATGAAATGTTAGAACCATCTCTTAAGCTCAGAATATCTCTAAAAATTAGAGCTGGGTCTGAGAACTGGGTTAAGAAGATACAGGGCAGCATATTTTCATGTTGGATCCTGTTTTTCCTTTTGTAGGCTGTGAACTATTTTCAACGTTTAATTATTTCCTTTTGATCAGATATTTTAACATTTGATTTCTTATTGCAAAGAATTATGTTTGTTTCTTTATATCAACATATTATAAGCATACTTGACTCCAGAGGGGCCATAACTTTTTTTTAATTGTTCTTCCCAAACTCTGATGAAAGAGGCAGGGGCAGTGCATTGAACCAACCCCAAATTTATTTTGCTACTGTCTTCCCTTTATGTTGCTGAATTTTCCATAAATTCTGAAAGAGACATAGTTGTGCAAACTCTTGGACGTTTTAGGCAATCCCTGCATACTTTAGGGTTCTAAATAGCGCAAGGAGCCTCAATAATATGAGGGAAACTCTGCTCCAGAGGTATTCCAAACATGGGGACAATGCTGGCAGGAATGGAGAAGCAGAGTGCCTATGTGAGAAAACACACTGCCTCCTTTCAGTGTGATTTCTGTGTTTTCACAACTACCACATGAATAGGCCTCATATTGCTTTCTTTAGTTGCTGGACTGTTATTGCTATTGAGAGAAAGATGGCCTCTCCTTATAGGTTCTCTTATAGGTGATAGATTCTCTTATAAGAATCTGATGTTAATACAAACGCCAAACACTATACAGTATATAATATAGATTTGATATATATAATCCCTGGATATTACTAAATGGATACTAGGGGTACTGCGTTGTTTGCAAAATATCAAGGTAACAGACTAGGACTAGGCCTACAGAGCTGTTCAGAGGAAATCTCTGCTGAACTGGTAAAATGGTGCTGAGGAAAAAAAAATTAGGCCAGGATCACAACTAACTTAGGGTTTTGGGAGATGCAAATAATTAATTATAAGCAAGAGACTCTTCTGAACTAAGCAATGACTAAGGAAAACACTTGGGATTTATCAGCTGGGACACTTACCAAATGTAATTATTTAATGACAATAAGATAATGTGAGCAGACTAAACTGTATTTCAGATTTTATGGCAACTAAAATAGAGTCACAGAACACCCTCGATGTACTGTAAGACAGGGTCAGCAACCTAGGAGCTTCTGAGGCAACATTCCACCAAGACATGCCAAGGGTCACAGCAGTCGAATCTTAGAAAATCAGAACAGAGAGGAGAGGGATTTTGGAGGTGACTATGTGGGCATTTGGCCCACTGTTTAATTTGCTGTGGGGACAGGATGGTTTGCTCCTTTTGCCAGTGACAAGATGACAATAAGAACCAGAGTGAAACAGCTCATCCCCAGAATGTTTCCACCCTCACCTTCCGGGCCCCCATCTGGGGCTACTCTTTTTTAGATGCAGGTAGTTTTAAAAAAGCTTATTAGGGCAGTGCTAATGCACTGTACCTTTTAGGGGAAAAATGGAAAGCTTCCAACAAGGGGGAATTTTTTTCCTTAAGCGGAATGGACCAAATAGGGCTGCTTGAGGTGCATATGCCATGTGAATGCAAGGAGCGCACCAAATGGCATACCAGACTTCTACATGATCTTAGCTGATCCCTTTTAGCCCACTTCAGTTAAGATGTGTAGCCAAGATCTCCGGTTTCTAAAAAACTGTTGTTGTTGTTGTTGTTGTTGAAGTACTGGTGGTCAAGAGGCATCCAGAGCATTGATACTGTATTCTTCTGCAGCAGTGTGGCTGTAGGCATTGCAAAATCAGCTTGTGAGGTCTATGCGATGTGTGATTCCCTCCCTTGGTGTGTGTGTGTGTGTGTGTGTGTGTGTGTGTGTGTGTGTGTGTGTGTGTGTGTGTGTGTGTGTGTGTGTGTGTGTGTGTGTGTGTGTTTCTTTTTTTTATATAATTTTATTATCT